TGATATTTTTTATATTTACTGGTCTACAGGTGATATTTTCACAATATTAACTTCACCGATTTTGGAGTTACCATTAACCCCTGGTCACCTCCGTCGGAGCCAACTCCGACGAGGCCCAACCTAGCCCTTACCATTTGGATTGGCCAAATCATTTTGTCAAGACCGAGCGATTGGCTGTCTAATAAATAAAAATGGATGATTGGTGATTAAAACCAATATTAAAAAAATTAAGTTGGGTCGGAGAATTGATGATATTCATCCATTTTATGGCAGTTCCATTAAGCATTCTTTTAATTCATTTTAACTAAAGGACGTCGATTTTCGTCGGCATGTAACGTCAAGTTGCCCATCTCAAACTTACAAAATGTGAAGTCAAAGTGCAATAGGAGAATAACGCCCTCAAATCCTTCAGAGAAGAAGTAAAACTCGCAAATGACGCTCCAAGAGAAACCTTTGGGTAGCACACTTGTTTCGCGGCGCGGTGAGACGTCTACCCAGGAAGCGCTGGCGAACAAGACAGTGGTGGGACTCTACTTCACGACCAGTCCGTTTCCGGCGTGAGATAGTGCAGAACCTGTGGACGCTATGATGTGGAGACGATCCCAACGCTCAATTTTGTGGACGCCATTGGCGATGTTGTCGAGCGCGAGGGCCGAGAACAACATCACTCTTCACAAGATCTGGGACCATGTCTCACTTTCCAGGCCTGAAGCTGCGATGCCGTGAATGGAGTGCAGGCTATGCTCAGCCCGCCTTGGAAGTTCGGCCTGAAAACAATTGTGCTCCCTCGCGCTCTCCTGAAGCGTTTCCCCGTGGGTCCGACGTCCGTACTATCATATTGTACTGTAATAGCGTCCCACGTGGCTCGGTGAGCTCAGTTCTTCACGGGTATCGTGCTCCGTGGCTCCGTTATTTCTCGTCTATAGCTTCCGTGACTGCGCGTTTTCCCATGCTTTATTAGTTGGGTCACCGTCCATACTATCGTGTTTTTCTTGTGGTGTCGAGATTTGTCTGTCGTCCGTTCCATCGTAGGCTACCGTAGTATCGCTCTCCGTGGCTCCGTGAGCTCCGGTTCTACCCTAGTATCGTATTTCAATGCTCTGTAATCTCCCGCTAATGGTCTTCCGCGAAATCATGCTTGGTTCGTCGACCTTGCTCCGTGGTCCACCGTGGTGCAACGGAATAATCCTTTTTTTCGTGCGTTGTCACAGCTACGGGCTGTATGTGGGTATTTCAGATCTCTTCCGTGGTCCGTACGCCCGTCATACTCTTTTCCTCCCCATTTTTCAGGGTTGCACGCTCTTCCGTGGTTCGTGCATTTCAGAATCGTTTGGTGCCTTCATTGATTTAGTCCTCTGTTATTGTCCGTGACCATTCGTGCTTCGTGCCGTTTCTTCTATTCCGTCATGTAGATAGTGTTCCACCGTGTTTCGTGCTCTAGCTTAATCACGTGCCTCCGCGCTAATTTAGTCACAGCTCCTGCTTCCAGCCTTGACGGTACGCTACGTATCGTGTTGGAAAAAGGGCACATGTTCTAATGGTCACACACTACGCGCGCAAATACAAAGAAAGACGATGTTTTTCGCGGCGGTGGAGTGGGGGTGTATGGTGGGAGGCCACTAAACACTTTTTTAGTAGTTAGTATTAGTAATATAGCTGTGTAATATTAGCTAACGCTGGTATCATATAACTATCATGTGTAATCCTACAACAAATTATTGCAAGCAAATATTTAATTAAAAGAAATAAAATTGTATTCAACTTAACAATCTTGTAATTTAAACTACTATAAAATTACTTCGAAGCTTAAAACATATTTTTAACAAAAGTACTGAAAGGACCTTTCAAGACTCTTAATGGGCCACCGGAGCCCACAATTGCTATTAACAGCTTGTGTAGCCATACATTGCGTGTGTGCTGATCGGCGCGGCCTACTAATGCTAACTAACGCGTACACAGGCAGCGCCCTTTGAGTGAAGTGGCGCTCAGAGCTTGAAATGGGGGCAAAATAAACTTGAAGCGGTGCATTTAATTACGACAAATGGGAGCGCCACATAATGTCAGCTAAGCCCGTTACGGTTGCCTTCACTGCGCTCAGCAGCCAGTAGAAGGCATGTATTAGCGCTACCCTCGAACGGACTAACTTACTTACAAATCGCTACATACGTTGCGTGGGGTTCCCGTTTGGCACTTGTCCCGCAATCGCACGCGCTCTTCGTATCGCCGCCGCTCCGCTTTTTGAAATGGGGCGTAAAGAAAGAAGCACAAATATATTAGCCAATCAGCTGGCCGAAAAAGTATTCAGTTGTATTAATTTTTAAAATATGACTCAATATCAGCCAGTGACCGGGGGCGCCTTCGCTTCACTTAACAGCTTTTTGTCCAGTAAGAAG